TTTTTTATCACAAAACAAAATATCTTCCGCTAAAGAAGCATTAAAAATTGTGCATTTTTTTGAAAATATATTAGTTCAGTGTTCAAAATTTTCTTTGTAATATTTCTATTTAATTTTTGGTTTATTAAATTGGTTAAAGGTTCAAAAATTGGACTAAGTATATTCAGTGCTGTGGCTACTAGTTCCAAGGCCCCCCTTCCCAAAAACTTATCATAAGGGTCCCAAAATCTTGAAAATTTTTCCATTAGGTTTTACTAAAAAAAAAAAAGCTCCTTACATTTGCAAAAGAGCTCCTAAATTTGCAAACGGGCCCTCTAAGATTGCTGTCTCCCCCAATTGGATTGTGTGGGGGAGCCTAACCACGGCTCTGGATATATTATTAATTTAAATTAATGGAAAATTATTTGGATCTAAATAGAACATAAGAGGATAATTTTTTAAAAATTGTTCATTGTTACTTGAAACTGCATCCATTATAACATTATATACATATATACAAAATCCATCATTAGGATGATCTATTAAATTTCTTTAATTTGTTTAACATGTCATTAATTCAATGGATCGCGGTCTTTATTTGTTTAACATGTCATTATTTTAATGGAAAGTAGTATTACTTCGATATCTTTTAAAGTAGTGTTTTTTTGATGTTCCGTATATTGAGGTTTCATAGAAAGTTTGCAGAACATCAACGAAAAATATAATTCCGGATGTAGTATCAAATGTACCAAACATTTTTTCTTAATATCTTATATCTGGCTCAGAAACGAATTCCTCCAGTAGCAATTTAAATGTCCTAAATTTACACTCGCCATACGTTGAGTGTTTATAAGATTCTTTTAAATAAACCGCACTATTTAATATCTTAAATACCTTTAAGATACCAAATAGTGAGATGTCTTTTGTGAAATCTCCCTAAAAAATAAATTTAACAAATGTGCATAACACCAAATGTGAATTTGATTTGTTGAAACTTGGTTTAACCATGTATTAAAACCTTTAAATGTACCTTGCATGTTCGCTGCACCATCAATATAACTTACCAGATTACTACTTGTTTTGTTGGTGCTAATTTTGTCTAAGCAATTTTTACTATTTTAACACATTCTTTTATGGATTTTTAATAAGGAATCAAATTTACTTATTAATAAAAGTAATTCTAGAAAATTACCATGATCTAAATTTTTGTCCATCAAGTTAAATGCAGATTTATTTAAACTGCCATAACTAAGTCCTTGTTTATTAATTAATTTTATAGTTTCAATTATTATTTTGAATATTAGTCAATATCTATTGACATTTACTTGGTTTTGTTTTTTAAATATACTAATTATGTCTTTGTCATTGGTTTTTAAAATGTATACTTCGGTACATGTAGTATGAAGTAAAGACACCTCATGTTCTGCAATTTTTTGATAAACATGTTGAGCATTTTTAATAACCATTTACAAAAAAAGAGTTATCAAACTTTTTGTTAAAACAAAACAATAAAACTTTTTATTACTCTTTTGACATTTAAATTATGTCGAAGACTGTCTTTCTTAAAATATGCATTTGATCATTTAAGTAATATTTATGTAATGAAGGGATGAAATTTCAAAACTGAGTTAAACTTTCATTTGCCGGTTTAATTATTATTATTTTGATTTGACCAATTAACGAAGTTCAGACGACAATAAATAAATCAATTTGATGAAAAGTTGTAATTAAGTGAAGAGAAAAAATAGAAAAAAAAAAGACTCAACTATATGTGTCGTGCAAAAGACCCACGGGGATATTGAATGATTATGTTGATCATGATGATCAGTCCAGCACTGTCGGTATCTTTATATAGCCATATAATCTTATTAAGATACGAAACTACATCTACAATAACCCTGATAGATTTTTCAGCCTAAAGTTAATACAGTCTTTCATATTATCATTATACAGTATCATATTATCGTTATAGATAATCAGCATGTAGAGAGGTAGCAGGAGAAAATAGTAGAATTTGAAGTAAGAAAACTTGGAGAGAGTGCATTACATATGGTATGAACGAGCATACCATATATTACCTTAACTTACATGGAGTAAGTTAAGGTAAGAAAATGCATGATTTTGTTTACATTAGAAAAACAGCATAAAAGGGGAAAGCTTGATGATGATGATGATCATCATCATCATCATCATCATCATCATCATCATCATCATCAACATCTAAATTCATATCTCCGTTCTTAGGTCTGCATTTGTTAAACTGAATTTCAATTGATTTCCGAACTTTACTTTCAAATTTTTTTGCTTCAATTTTCTACGTTTTTACTTGCTCCCATTTTCTACGTTTTTACTTGCTCCCATTTTATATTGCATGGGTATTTGTTTTTATGGTACCCAGTTGCAGATTGTTTCCATTTTTCTTGAAATGCATTTTTTGCTGTTGCTTTGTTCTTGTTGTTATTTTCATTTTTGTTTGTTGAACAAACTCCGCAAAAAAAAACAAACAAACAAAAAAACAGCAGTGCAAATCAGGCTTTATTAGAATAGGGCAATTTAGCTAAAAAAATTTATTAGAATTTTATTAGAATAGGGCAATTTAGCTTAAAAAAATATGAAAGTCTTTACGCAAGCGACCCAATGCCGCCACGTATTTATGGTGTAATTAAAGCGCGCAAACCAGAAAAATCATACCCTATGCGATTAGTTGTTTCAACCATCGGGACATCAAGTTATAAAATATGACAATAGTTAAGTAAATATATTTCAATCAATATTAAATGAAAACATAAAAAAGTTAAACTTTTTTAAAAACATTCATAGAGCTTTATCAATTCGCTTATAAAAAATTTTAAATAAAGAAATGATTGATGCATTTATGCCAAGTATATCACTACCGTGGATCCCAATATTATCACCGAAACTTTGAAAAATCTTTAGGATGAAATGATCTAGCAATGATGCAATCATGCCAAATATTTCATTACCGTGGATTTCAATATTATCACCGAAACTTCAAAAAATCTTTAGGAAAGCAGGTTACAAGTCTTTAAATCTAGCGCAAATCTTAAATTTTTGTTAACCTTATGGAACAAAACCAAACTACCATCAAATAGCTTTCCCGAAGTATACCTAATAGAATGCTAGTGTAAACAAAAATACATCGGCAAAACAATGAAGATGAAAATAGCAACAAACAAATGTCCATGCAATATAAAATGGAGCAGGTAAAAACGTTAAGAATAGAATCTAAAAAATTTGAAAGAAAAGTTCGAAAATCAGTTTAACAAATGCGGACCTAAGAACGGAGATGCGAATTTAGCTAATGGTCAATGTTTAAAACTATTCTGCAGCTGTAGCTGATGAGTATTGTTGCTTACAAATAAAAACATTAAGTGAATGGGCCTCATGCTTCACAAACAATTCATTAACGCTGTTCCAATGTTCCATAAAATTTTTTATATGAAAGTTTTGATGTAACTATAAGAAATCCCTATCAAGTATGACTATAAATTTAAAAAATTTACACCAAATATATTATAAAAAATATATACATAATTTTTTTACTTATATTGATTAATTTTAGTATATATTAAAATCGAGTAAAGAAAAGCAAGAGCTATATTAAAGGGCGTATAAGACTGTAAATTTTAGACTGTGCTAGTTTGAGAAATTTCACAGCTAAAGCACGGCTCACGCCATGTTCATTTTAAGTTTTATTTTAAAAACAAATTTTGAGTTGAAATTTGCAAAGTGGGTTCAAGTATAAATATTAAGCTGTTAAATTTGTTACTTTGTTATTTTTAATAAGATTTTATTCAATATTCTTCATATTTATTCAAGATTTGTCTTCAAGTTTGTAGAAAAAAGTTATTTATTTCCAAATTTTCTAAATGTCTGTACTTAACTTTGAATTTTACTGAAGTTTTTTGTTTACAAATAAGTTACATTTGTATGTGTTCAAACATTTTAACCCTTTCAGATATAAATGTTAAACAAATAGATTATAGCAAATGATTTGCCATAATCTATGTAAATGTTTAAAAAAAATTTATATTAAAAAATCTTAATATTTCATGAGTAGTCATTATTAATTAATCATCAACATTAAATTCATTTTTAAAAACTCAAATTCAATTTTTTTTAAACAAAATAAATAAAAGCAAATTATTTAGCGACAAATAACAATACTCACGCGCGAGCGAGCGTGCTTACATGTATACATTGTAAATATTTGGTATTTTTATTATTATGAAATAAAAAAAAATTATTTAAAGATAGTTTGCATAGTTTGCAGCTTCATTCAAAATTCTTCAAATATTATTAATTCAAAATGCTTTATATAGTGTTTTTGCAATTATTAAATATATTTTAACGTCATTTAAGATTACTCGAAAAAAAATATGTTTGACCAAAAAAATATGTTCAACCAAAAAATATGTTAAACCAAATTCCAAAAGAACATGATTAATTAAAAGTTTCTCACTTTTTTTTAGATTTTTTAGATTACTTTAGATTTTTCCATTTTCCTAAAAAAATAATTTCAAGTGGAAGCCGAGCAAAAACGTTTTATTTCTTAAATAAAATTTGTTTTCAAAAACATTTTTTTCAAATGTATTTTTTCAAAAATAGTTTTGAAAGAAGCTGCAACACTATTCCTAGCACTTTTGAAAAATCTATGGGTTTTAAACACTAATGCTATGCCTTGGGTTTTTAACACTAATGTTGCGTTAAACAATCAAACACTAAAATGCTACCATAAATATAATTTCATAGTACTTCAAAAAATATTAAAAAAATAATTGTTAAAGAATTATTAAACTTTGATAAAATTGAATAAAAAATATGTTACATAAGCTACAATACTTCTTAAATAAAAAATTGCAACTAAGTCGCAAGGTTATCGCAAGGTTATCGCAAGATTAGTATCAAATTAACGAAGATCATTAATGTCAAAGGCTTTTTCAAAGCATTTTTGCTGCAACAGGTTTTTACGAAATATATTAAAAGGTAGGAAAGCATACCGTCATTTTGAGCTTGTATCCCCCAAACTACAAGAAACAAATAAAATGTATTTTGCAAGCTTAACATAACATTCATATTTTTGGCTAGAAACGGCTTTAAAGCCGCTAACGCAAGTCTTTAAAGAAAATCTTCTCTTTTTTTTCAAATTTTAACTTTGTCTCTTACTTTCTAAAAATGACAAAAATATTTTGTTTCACATATTATTTGCTACTTAAGGTAAGGTAAACCCCAGATTTGCTTTTATCTATTATTTTTTTTTTAATGTTTAGGAAATCAGAACAATGTTATTTACTCATTTTGTGTAAACAAAGACTATCCAAACAAATAATTAACAATACATTGCCGGAAACCACAGAATATTTCCACTGGATATAGCAAAATTTACACTGTTAACTTAAATCAAGAATGTTAGCTTAAAGATTTACAACGCTTGATAATCTAAACTATCAAAATGAGTAACTTTTGTAATGTGGTTATAGAAAATAATAACTTTTCAACAATTCTTATTTTAAAGCTAGTCTTAAGCATAAAGATACAACGTCGTCAAAATGGTAATTTAAACGACGTTGATACAATACAATTTTGATTACATTAATAATCGATTGTAGCGAATTTAATTATATTTGCTACAATTATATTATAGACTAAAAAGGAACTTTTTTTGAGGAAAACCAGATGAACCCAGGGTTTGTTTGTATTTGAATGCTGTAAATGTCAGGTCGCTCAATAGTCAGTTGACTTAAATTAGCCAATTATAGAGCTATTAATGTAACAACCATATTTGTCAACTATAAATTAGTTACAAATAAATAAATAATAATAAATAGTCATTAAGAAATTATTTATAAAAAAACTTCGAAAAAGTTATTTATAATCTCCTATAAATTTCTCGATTTCTTATTAAAATGGTCAGAAACGCAAAAATATTTTTAAGAATTTTGAACGAAGTTATATTTTTAAAACTGTTTTTTGTTTTGTTTTTTGGTCAACTTTAGGCTAAATAAAATCAAGAAAAAGAAGTAAATAGATTTTATTAAACACAAATCCAAAATATTTTTAATATATTGGTTTTATGGAGATCCACAATGCCTCAGACAGGTTATAAAGTGGCAAAAACTCTTGATTTTAAATTATGAATTAATTTAAAAAAAAATTTTTAAGACATATATATTTGTGATGTTAGGGTATTGGGATAGTAAACTTATTGAATTAAGGTTTAAGTAAGGCTTTCACTGTGCATAATTTATAGAAAAGTTAATGCTCCGGTCATTTAGGAAAAAATATAAAAAAAACATACAAATTTTAGAAACGTTCGGTCAAAGTAGATGTTTTCATTTTAAATCAAATATTGAGAATTAGTTTCTATTTTTCATTTTTTTCATTTTTACAATATCAATTATCAATATAACTTTCTCTATGTTTCAGGAAAAAAATATTGAAATTTTTTTTATTTATGTGTGATAAATAAATGTTCGAAGCTCAAGTGACCGAACTTAGGCAATTTTATGGTATATAAAACCATAATTAAAGACTTATAAAACTTAAATTTTTTTTTAATCAACTTCTTCTTTTCTATAAAAGGCTTAAATATTACAGGAGTCTAAATATTCAATAAAGTCAACTATTGGTATAATCACTTTGTTATGTCACTTGTATTTAATACTCAAGTATTAAATGTATTAAAGTCGCTCTTAATACTTATGTTTTTTCCACTTCAGTGGAAAAAAAGAAATAAAGATAATGTAATTGAGTTTAAATAAAAATAAATAATAATAATAATAATTTTCATGGGTACTTGTGTTAGCTTAAGAAAAACAATCAGGCATAAATTAAAATATGTAACATTTATGAATAATCAGCACAGGCAAATTGTTTTAGAAGAAATTATTTATCAAAGTTAAATTATTTTCAAAACTAATTATTTATTAAACCAAGACTTAAAAGTACTTTGTAAATGACTAAAAAATAACTTAAATTAAATCCACAAAAGTTCACGGCCATGCCAAATATAAATCCACAAAAGTCCACGACCATGCCAAATATTCAAAAAAAGAAGAGATTTTAAAATCTCATACAAAAATTAAAAATTCATACAATACAAAAATTCAAAAAAGAAGAGATTTTAACAAATCAAAGCAGTAACATAAAAATGATCTTGGATGACATAGTTATTGAGCTTGCTGATTACGTAAAATATTTAGAGCTTGGTGGTTGTGTAAAATATTTAGAGCTCGGTGTTTGTGTAAAATATTTAGAGCTCGGTGGTTGTGAGAAATATTTAGAGCTTGGTGGTTGTGTGAAATATTAAATTACAAACTTAACTTTACTGAACAAATCAAATATATTAAGTAAAATTGCAAAGAGAAATGGATATCCAACTAAAATAAACAAATATTTAACTCAATAGATCAAAAAGTTAATCTTTCGAACTATTATTGCTTACAACTACAAATACTGTGCCTCGACTCGATGTAACTTTTCTTGATGTAATTATCATGTCTCTACTTGATGTAAATACTCTGCTTTTCTTGATGTAAATAATCAAAATTTTAACATTCAAGAAAAGCTAAAAAACAAAGCAATAAAAGTATTCTGAAATTTGACTGGTCAACTCACAAAACAAAATTATTAAAACTACTTGATTGGGTCTGTATAACAAATAAAATAATTGTTAATCATTATGTTTTATGTGAAAAACTATGAAGTTTTATTATTATATATTATCACAAAACACTAGAAAAACTTTCATAAAACTTATCAATTTAATAGAGAAGAAATTGTTGTTTATCAAATGGTTTAATATAACAAAATTGCTCAATTATTAAGTGAATTAGAATCTAAAAACTTCAAAAAGATTAAAAGAAATTTAACAAAAGTTAAATTGCTTTTATTTTTTTCATGGAAGCTTAACTGTATATTTACTTGTTTCTGTTTTACTATAGTTTATTTTAGAAAAAAACCAATTAATCTTTCTTAAAAGGTGCGTTTCCAATCATATAATTCCACCGTCGTTAAAAGTAAGATCACTAATTTAATCAAAAAAGCAGAAAATATTACTAAAGAATATCAAAGAAAGTTATTGATACACGCCCAAAACGAAGCAAAATATAGATTTTTTACAAGTAAGAATGTTGTAAAAAATATTTGTTATAATTTAGAGAAAATTTTGACACTAAACCATTATAAAATTATTGAAAACGTTACGGAAAAATCAAAAAAACATCATTACGAAATTAAAAAGAAACATTTAAAAGAAAAATTTGAAAAACTTTATAAAATGAGTTACAATAAACAAAAAAAATCAAACGAATTGAGTAAAAATATAGTTAAATCAGGAGTTTTAAATTTATCGCAAATTCAGTTAGACACCCCCACAACAAATTTTCTGAATCTTGGACCAAATTTTGCACCGTTGTTTAGAAAGTTACTTTTTATGGAAATTTTAACTCCAATCGAGTCTTTTGCTTTAAGTTTGGAAAAAGATTATAAAAAATCTGATGATTCGACGAAAGATTCGACGAAACGTGAGTAAAATTCTTATTAAAAACATAAAACCTAGATTACCCAATAATTTAACAAAAGAACAAAGGTTATCTTTAAATAATTTGAAGAAAAAAATGAATGTTTTAGCAGTTTATCCATTTGATAAAGGAACAGGATTTGTATTAATAAATGAGGTGGATTCATTTTCTAAATTAGAAGAGGAAATCAAACATTTAGTTACTATCAACTATGACCCAACTCAAACCCTTATGATTAAATTCTAGAAAATATTATGCAAATTACGAAAACAAAAAAAGTTAGATAACAAGACTTATTTTCAAATGTACCCTTCTGACTGAGGCATTTTTGCAGCATTTGGAGACAAAAGCTCTTATTATGGCTGAAGTTGTTCATTTTTCGCCAAAGACTTACAGAAGGTATGTAGATGACAGTCATGCAAGATTCGACTCAATACAAAATCATGATAAGTTTCTGGAGTTGTTAAATAAACAAGATCCAGCGATAGAATATACTTCAGAAAAGGAAAACAATAAAAAAGAGTTAAACTTCTTGGATATAACTGTAACCAACACTAATAACTTATACTATAACTTCAAAATTCATCGAAAGTCGGCTATCACTAATATACAGATAAACCAACATCAAACGTTAATCCAAATATAATGATGGGTGTTTTTAAAGATTTTGTATCTCGTGCCATTAAAATTTGTTCTACAAAGTATTTTAATAATGGAATACAGTTTTTAGTAAACATGTTTGTAGAAAATGGACTTGATAGATTAAAACTTGAAACAACTGCTAAAAACTATATTCAGAAAAGAAACAACCTTTCTAAAATAAACTATAGTAAAACAGAAACAAGTAAATATACAGTTAAGCTTCCATGGCTCCCAAGAATAGATCCAAAACTTAGAAAAGAACTTAAACATTGCAACGTCATAATAACTTTTACTACACCACCTACATTAAAAAAAATCTTATGCAACAACAAGTCAAAGTTAATTCCCAATAGCAATCCCGGTATCTACAAACTCACATGCTCTTGTGGCAGTATATACATTGGCGAAACAAAAAAGAAAATTTTAACGAGATGCTTTGAACATCAAAAAAACTATTTAAAGGGTAAATGGGATGCATCTGGTGCAACTGAACACGGTAGAGAATGTAATGGTATGTTTGATTGGTCAAATCCGATAACTCTAGCAATAAAATCAGAATATGATGAACGTAAAGTGAGAGAATCACTTGAAATTAATTACGCCTCAACATATCAGGAAATAAATCACGCTCCTATACTTCTCAACCGTGACAATGGCGTTAAAATTCCTACAAACAGTTGGAGACCCTTTTTTAAAAAAATTATCCAAAAAAACGGACTTAAATAATATTTGCTAACTATATATTTACGTTGTTAGGTATCATTTATGGCTTCTTTTTAATGTCTTCTTTGACGTTTTTATGTAATATTTGTAACGGTTTTTTGTACAATATTTTACGTCTGATGACGATCTGTGCAAAAACAGGTCGAAATATTACAAAGACAAAATTTAGTTTGTACACACTTGTTGTTTTATGCTTTATATTTTATATATATATATATATATATATATATATTATTATTATTATTATTATTATTATTTTATAAACATCAATAAATACGATTTTCTCTCAATGCTAAATTTATTTTTTATTTTTTAAAAGAAAT